GCCTCAGGGGAGCGTGCTGGTTCCATCCATGTTCAACATCTACACAAATGACCAGCCACTGCCAGAAGGGACAGAGAGTTTCATCTATGCTGATGATTGTGCCATCACCGCTCAAGCAGGGAGCTTTGAGATGTTAGAACAGAAGCTCTCCGAAGCTCTAGGTGCTCTTATTGCCTATTACAGGGGAAACCAGCTGATCCCTAACCCATCTAAAACACAGACATGTGCTTTTCACCTTAAAAACAGACAAGCATCCCGAGCTCTGAGGATCATCTGGGAAGGAATCCCACTGGAGCATTGCAACGCACCCAAATACCTGGGAGTTACCCTGGACCGTGCCCTAACCTACAAGAAGCACTGCCTGAATATCAAGCAAAAGGTGGGCGCTAGAAACAATATCATACGAAAGCTGACTGGCACAACATGGGGATCACAACCAGACACAGTGAAGACATCTGCCCTTGCGCTATGCTACTCTGCTGCTGAGTATGCATGCCCAGTGTGGAACACATCTCACCACGCTAAAACAGTGGATGTGGCTCTTAATGAGACATGCCGCATTATCACGGGGTGTCTGCGCCCTACACCTATGGAGAAATTACACTGTCTAGCCAGTATTGCACCACCTGACATCCGCCGGGAAGTAGCAGCCAATAGTGAAAGGACCAAGGCAGAGACATCTCCAGCTCACCCCTTGTTTGGGTATCGGCCATTACATCAACGACTTAAATCAAGAAATAGTTTTCTAAGATCTACAGAGACACTCGCTGGAACACCTCAGCAAGCGAGAGTCCAAAAGTGGCAGGCTCAAACCCAGAACCTCAATCAATGGCTGATACCAAATGAGAGACTCCCTCCTGGGCACACAGAGGACTGGGCGACTTGGAAGGCGCTGAACAGACTGCGCTCTGGCACCACGAGATGCAGAGCCAACCTTCAGAAATGGGGCCAAAAAGTGGAATCCTCGACATGCGAGTGTGGAGAGGAACAAACCACTGACCACCTGCTGCAATGCACCCTGAGCCCCGCCACATGCACCATGGAGGACCCTCTTGCAGCAACACCAGAGGCACTCCAAGTGGCCAGATACTGCTCAAAAGACATTTAATCAACTACCAAGCCTGCAAATTTTGTGTTTTGTCTGTTTGTTTGTTTTGTTAAAAATGTAATACAAATGTCTGGTTGCTCCTGACACGAAAAATAAAGTGTATATACATATAATATTTATAATAATATAATGTAATACAATATAATACTAATAATAACAATACAATATTATAATTAGAATTATATATTTACATGTAATATTACTAATAATATTACAATATAATGGTACAGTGCAATATAGTAATATATTGCACTGATATTGTATTATGCTAATAATGTAATATATTGTATGAAAATATATGTTGTAAGCCGCTCTGAGTCCCCTTCGGGGTGAGAAGGGCGGCATATAAATGCCGTAAATAATAAATAAATATTGCTGGGCTGTACTTACAAAAGGAGTTTTCCATCTCTCCAAATATCAGCAATGACAGTTTTAAGTGAATCAGTACAAGATGCCATTTAGTCATGTGTTTAACTCTATTCTAATGCCTGTATGCTTTGGGTTTTAATGTACTTTTCTGTGTCAGGAGCGACTTGAGAAACTGCAAGTCGCTTCTGGTATGAGAGAATTGGCCGTCTGCAAGGATGTTGGCCAGGGAACGCCCAGATGTTTTGATGTTTTACCTTCCTTGGAAGAGGTTTCTCTCATGTCCCCGCATAGAGAGCTGGAGCTGACAGAGGGAGCTCATCTGCGCTCTACCCAGATTCAAAGGCCCGACCTGTCAGCCTTCAGTCCTGCCAGCACAGGGGTTTAACCCGCTACGACACCAGGTGCTCCTACATACATTGTACAAATTGTGTGGTGGGGAGCCCCCGGGTGGCGCAGCAAGTTAAACCACTGAGATGCTGAACTTGTTGAGCGAAAGGTCGCATGTTTCGCTCATGTGTGTCTCAAAGTTAGCAAAGAACATTCCATCTGCAAGACAAACCAAAACCCACAGTTGGGCCAAAACTTTTCTGAGGATCCACCCAAATGTCTCCTATGCACATTTCTACACTTAAGGCTGAACGTAGCTTAGGAGCATAAGCACACTGAAAGCATCCAATCCACGCTGATCTTGTTTTGGCCGCACATCTTGAGATCTCATTAGGTATGTGCAAACACTCCGAAATCCAAAACACAGCCAAATCGGAAATCATTCACAAACTTTACTTCATGCACAAAATAGTGTAAAAATAAAAAAATAAAATGTTTAGTACAAACTCCAAAATCTTGAATTTGAGATACATAGATACACACACACACACACACACACACACATATATATAATATATATACAAGCAAGCGTTCCAAAATCTGACGTACTCCAAAAGACGGCTGGGAAAGCAGCCCCTTTGCTTTCTGGCCTGACCCAAACTTTGTTTCACACACAAACCTATTCAAAAATATTGCGTAAACACGACCATCAGGCTGGGTGTATTTCTCAATAAGCACTTGCAAACATTCCCAAACACTTTCCAGTCCCAAGTGTTTCAGAGAAGAGATGCTCAACATGCTTTGAAGCTGCAAAGCTATTCAATGCTAATCAAGCTGGCCAACTGCAACCTTCACACTTGCCTCCAACAGACAAGAGTTCTTTCTCCCACCCTGGACATTATACAGATTATAAATCCCATTTGCCTAGTTTCCAACAGACTTCACAACCTCTGAGGATGCCTGTCATAGATGGGGGAGAAACATCAGGAGAGAATGCTTCTGGAACATGGCCAGACAGCCCAGAAAACTCACAGCAACCCAGTCATTCCGGACACAAAAGCCTCTGACAACACAATAATAATAGTAGTAGTAGTAGTAATAATAATAATAATAATAATAATATCCTTTTACTCCCTTGCCTGAATAGCACAAATGCAATACACACACACACACACCTATGCACATACACACATATAAAAATCAATACACACACATGCCTGGGCACATACAAATGTATACACACACATATAGAAATATATAAATACACATTATATACGTGTATATGCACATACCTACACACACACACACAGAAATATCTATATATACATACACACACCTATGCACATACAAATATATACATACAAACACATATAAAAATAAATATATACATATATACACATCTATGAACATACAAATCTATATACATATATATAGAAATATACATATACACATTTTATATATGTATATACATATACCTATATACACACACACCAGTGCACATCCAAGTGTATACATAGAAACACATATGGAAATAAATATATACACAGACATATACACATACCTATGGACATAGAAATGTATATACATATATATAGAAATATACATATACACATTTTATATGTGTATATACATATACCTATACACACACAAGTGCACATCCAAGTGTATACATACAAACACATAGAAATAAATATACACAGGTATATATACACATACTATGCTCATACAAATGTATATACATATATATAGAAATATACATATACACATTTTATAGATGTATACACTTATACGTATACAGGCACATATATAGAAATAAACACACACATATACACGTACACTTATAAACATCCAAATGTATAACCACATATAGAAATATATATATATATACACACACACACACCTATATATACTCACCTATGCACATATATATAGAAATATACACATAGACATTTATATATATATATGTATATACCTACACACACACATAGAAATAAACACACTATATACACACACCTATGCACATCCAAATGTATACATACACACATACCTATGAATATACACAAACGTATTATTTATTTATTTACTTTATTTGTATACTGCTGTTCTCAGCCCGTAGGCGACTCACAGCGGTTAACAACATTAGCAGCAAAAATTCATTGCTAACAACAACAGGATATTTAAAAACAATTAACACAATAACAGATTAAGCAATTAACACAATAACCATTCACCGGCGTCTCATAACTGAAAACATGATCCAAACTCGTCATCCATTGTTCCGTTCCTATATTCATTGCACTGCCTATTCAAACGCCTGTTGAAATAGCCAGGTTTTCACTTTTCTCTGAAATACCATTAATGATGGAGCTGATCTGATGTCCGTGGGAAGGGCGTTCCACAGCCAAGGGGCCACCACCGAGAAGGCCCTGTCTCTCGTCCCCGCTAGCCGTGCCTGTGTTGCAGGCGGGACCAAGAGCAGGGCCTCCCTGGAAGATCTCAAAGTCCTAGTGGGTTCGTAGTTGGAGATGTGATCGAATAGGTAACTTGGGCCGGAACCAAACATAAACATGCACATATATTGAAGACATCCACACACCTATGCCCATCCAAATGTATACATACACACATATAGGCACATACATACCTATGCACATACACAAATGTATAAAACACACACCTATGCACATATTACTATTATTATTATAACATACACAGTTATGCACATACAAATGCATACACAGGAATATACATATACGTATTATAGATGTATATACACACACACACAAATACAGAAAAGCACACACACATTGCCTCAGGAAGGCCTTTCCCTTGGAAGTCCCCAATCTTCCCCCCAGTAGCCCTCCCTGAATAATAATAATAATAATAATAATAATGTATTGTCGAAGGCTTTCATGGCTAGAATCACTAGGTTCTTGTGGGGTTTTTCCGGGCTATAGGGCCATGTTCTAGAGGTATTCTCTCCTGACGTTTCGCCTGCATCTATGGCAAGCATCCTCACTCCCCTGAGGATGCTTGCCATAGATGCAGGCGAAACGTCAGGAGAGAATGCTTCTAGAACATGGCCCTCTAGCCCGGAAAAACCCCACAAGAACCTGATAATGATGATGATGATGATGATGATAGTAAGGCCAGGCCTCCCTCCCTCCCTCCCTGGCTCCCATGCCGGGCCACTCACACCTCGAGGATGCGGTCCCCCTTGCGGACTCCGGCCCTCTCTGCGGCGCCTCCTCCCAGGACGGCGCTGACGTGCTGGAGGGGCGCGTAGAGCTCTCCGTGGATGCTGCGCAGCTGCCCGCCCTCGCTGACCTGCCCGCGCACGTTGAACCCGTAGCCAGACTCCGACTTCACGATCCGCACCACGCGAGGCCCCGCAGGAGGAGCAGGAGGAGGAGGCCCAGGCAGGCCCACGGGAGGAGCAGAGGCAGGAGGAGCAGCCGAGGAGGAAGGAGCCGACGAGACCGAGCTTCCCCCTCCTCCTCCTCCTCCTCCTCCTCCGCTCCCTCCCCTCAGAGGGCCCGGCAACACGGAGCGCGGCAGCCCTTCGCCCGCCTCGTCCGCCATCTTGGCGCGAGTGAGTGAGTGAGTGAGTGAGTGAGGAGAAGCCCTCAACGCCGCCGCGGACCCGACAGGCGCCCTGCTCGCTCGCTCTCGCGCTGGCGCCGTCACGCGACCGGCCACGCCCCCCCTCCCTCTCTCCCTTCACCGCCCTCGCCGGCTTCCGTACTGCTCCCCCCCTTCCTCCAACTGGAGGAGACGGCGCATGCGCAAGCGGCTTTCCTCACTCAAGCATGCGCACTAAGGCACCGCGGAGGAGGAGGCGCCAAGGTAGGAAAGCTGGACTACGTTTCCCAGAAGGCCACGGGCGCGCAGAGGAGGAAGCAAAGACGGAAGATTGCTGGAGGGATGCACATACCAATACACAGAGGGGTGTGTGTGTCTGTATGTATGTGTGTGTGTATATATATACACACACACACACACACACATATACACGCACATACACATATACACACACACACATATACACACATATATAGACGCACATATACACACATATACATACATATATACACACACATACATATATACACACACATACACATATACACACACATATATACACGCACATATACACACACACATACATACACGCACATACACATACATATATACACACAGATATATACACACACACATATATACATACACGCACATATACACACACATACACATACACACACACATATACACACACATATATACATACACGCACATACACATACATATATACACACAGATATATACACACACACATATATACATACACGCACATACACACATATATACACGCACATATACACGCACATACACATACATATATACACACATACACACATATATACACGCACATACACATATACACACACACATAGACGCACATATACACACTACACGCACATATACACACATATACATACATATATACACACACATACACATATACACGCACATATACACACACATATACACACACATATATACATACACGCACATACACATACATATATACACACAGATATATACACACACACATATATACATACACGCACATATACACACACATACACATACATATATACACACATACACACATATATACACGCACATACACATATACACACACACATATATAGACGCACATATACACACTACACGCACATATACACACATATACATACATATATACACACACATACACATATACACACACATATACACGCACATATACACACACATATATACATACATGCACATACACATACATATATACACACAGATATATACACACACATATATACATACACGCACATACACACATACACACACATATATACACGCACATATACACGCACATACACATACATATATACACACATACACACATATATACACGCACATACACATATACACACACACATATATAGACGCACATATACACACTACACGCACATATACACACATATACATACATATATACACACACATACACATATACACGCACATATACACGCACATATACACACACATATATACATACACGCACATACACATACATATATACACACAGGTATATACACACACATATATACATACACGCACATACACACATACACACACATATATACACGCACATATACACACACATACACGCACATACACATACATATATACACACATATACATGCACATATACACACACACAAATATATACACACACACACAAATATACACACACATACACACAAATATACATATACACATGCACATACCAGTGCATACATACCAATAGAGGGGTGTGTGTATATATATATATACACACACACACACACACACACACATATATATGGTTATCATAGTAATTGTGTATTAATTGTGTATTAGACTAGGTTATTAACTGTTTTATATTGGTGTTTGAATTCTGCTGTGTCCTGTGTCTTCTGAACCGCTGTGAGTCGCCTTCAGGCTGAGAACAGCAGTATAGAAGCAAAATAAATAAATAAATAAATACACATATCTTTGCACACACACATAAATGTATGCATACACACACAGAAATAAATATGCATATACACATATACAGGTATGTATATATATGCACATACCAATGTGGACATAACAATACAGTGTGTGTGTATATAATATATATACATCTTTGCATACACAGAAATGTATGCATACAAACATAAAAATAGACATATACATATATACATGTATGTGTATATATATTCACATACCAGTGCATACACACATATAGAAATATGCATATACACATTATATATGTGTGTGTGTACACATCTATGTACATACACATTTATACATGCCCACACATATAGAAATGCACACACCTATACACATACACATGTACACATACCCACATATAGAAATATACATATATATACACACATAACTATGTACATACACATGTATATATATGCACATATAGAAATATACACCTATACACGTGCATACATACTCACACATAGAAATATACATATACACACACATAACTATGTACATACAAATGTATATATACACACATATAGAAATACACACCTATACAAATGTATACATACCCACACATATAAATATACATACATATATACGCACTCAACTATGTACATACTAATGTATACATACACACATATAGATACACACATATATAAACATGCACATGTATGCATACCCACACATATAGAAATATACATACATACACACACAACCATGTACATACAAATGTATACATACACATATATAGAAATAAACATATACTCACATATATGTATATATACACATACCTATACACACTCATAGATATATATACACATTGTATATACACGTATCTATGCACACACACAAATGTACACATACACATATAGAAAAACACATACACACATACCTATGCACATACACATGTATTCATACACACACACACACATATATATATATACACATGCCTATGCACACACAAAGATGTATACGTGCACACATATATATACAGAAATAAATCTACATATACACCTTTTATTGTAGGTATTGCAGGCTTAGGTATTTTGCAGTGATAAGCATTAATCGTCCTTTAGTCCCATTAGAAATACATTGGGATGGGGGTGGACTACAACTCCCACCATCCTGGATCATAGCGTTCTTTGGAAGTGGGAGGACAACAACTCCCATCGTCCAAGGTCAATCCCCTCCCCAAACCCTTGGAGTATGTTCTGTTGGCCTTGTTGCATCTGTGTAACAAGCTCGATCCGGATTTGTCATCGGTGGGGTTCACAGCGCTCTCTGGATGTAGGTGAACTACAACTCCCAACCTCTCAAGTCCCACAAATAGTTTCAGATGGCTATGAGGTAATTCAAACCTGGATCTCCATAGTTATAGAAGAAAAGCAGTCCAGACTCAATCGGACATACTTTAAACACAATTGAGCATTTATTTATATATACACACACGCACACACTATGCTAAGTTACACAATAGGCACATCAGATTTTATTAAATGTGGCCCTATTGAAAAATAATATTCTCCCCTCTTGATTGGGTTCGAAGCAAGGAAACCTAGGTCTGTTTACGTCTGACCTTCTTTGGAAGGGCGCAAAAGGGAGGCTTTTCACAATGCATCCATAATGAAGACGGCCAATTCTCTCACACCAGAAGCGACTTGCAGTTTCTCAGGTCGCTCCTGACACGGCAAAAAAAAAAATCCATAATGAATAGTGGATTTCGACTGTCCCTTGTACGTTCCTAGATCCTGGGGAAAAGGGGCCTCGGCCACATTCGGAGGGGCGCCGACGTTTCCCCCGGCGGCTGCGGGTTCGAGAAGCGGCAGGGCAAAGCGGCTGGCGGCACGGGCTCCCGAGAAGCTCGGAGTGGGTTCCTCTTCCTTTCCGAGGTTCAGGTTTCCACCAGGCGGATGAGCGGCAACGGCTTGGGGCTCACGGGCTTGGCAAACCTCTTGCTGAAAGGACAACAAAGGAGAGCGGGAGGTTAATAATATAATATAGGTAAAGGTAAAAGGTAAAGGTTGTGCCCGACTCTGGGGGTTGGGGCTCATCTCCATTTCTAAGCCAAAGAGCCGGCTTTGTCCATAGACATCTTCAAAGTCATGTGGCTGGTATGACTGCATGGAGCACCCTTACCTTCCCACCAGAATGGTACCTATCGATCTACTCACATCTGCATGTTTTCGAACTGCTAGTTTGGCAGGAGCTGGGGCTAACAGCGGGAGCTCATGCCGCTCCCCAGATTCAAATCTGTGACCTTTCGGTTAGCAAGTTTAGCAGCTCAGTGGTTTAACCCACTTTGCCACCAAGGGCTCCTAATAATGTAATATAAAATATATAATATATTTATAATATATTTATAATATAATATAATACATAATACATAATATAATACAATATATATAATATACTAGCCATTCCCTGCTGTGGCCCAGTCTGTGTATATGTGTTCTGTGTATATATTTGTGTATATGTGTATACATGCGTGTTTGCATATATATATATATATATATATGTGTGTGTGTGGGGGGGGGGGGTTTGCACATATGTTGTAATGTATTTTTTGTTTTTTGGCTTTTTAAGTCTCTTTTGCTGTGTTTTAATGAGTGATGGTCACTTGTTGGCCTGAGAGGTGTCTTGTGTCCAAATTTGGTGTCAATTCGTCCAGCGGTTTTTGAGTTCTGTTAATCTCACAAACGAACATTACATTTTTATTTATATAGATGATTATGATCATTATTATTAAAATAGACAATTGGTTAACAGAACATGAGCTGTAAGATTATTATTATTATTATTATTAAAATAGACAATTGGTTAACAGAACATGAGCTGTAAGATTATTGTTGTTGTTGTTGTTATTATTATTATTGACAATTGGTTAACAGAATATGAGCTGTAAGATTATTATTATTGCTAGCCATCCCCTGCCATGCGTTGCTGTGGCCCACATGGGGGTTCTGTGTGGGAGGTTTGGCCCAATTCTATCGTCGCTGGGGTTCAGAATGCTCTTTGACTGTAGGTGAACTATAAATCCCAGCAACTACAACTCCCAAATGTCAAGATTCTATTTTCCCCAAACTCCACCAGTGTTCACATTTGGGCAGATTGAGTATTTGTATAGTTTGGTCCAGATCCATCATTGTTTGAGTCCAAAGTGATCTCTGGATGTAGGTGAACTACAACTCCAAAACCAAAGGACACTGCCCACCAAACCCTTCCAGTATTTTCTGTTGGTCATGGGAGAACTGTGTGCCAAGTTTGGTCCAATTCTATTGTCAGTGAGGTTCAGAATGCTCTTTGATTGTAGGTGAACTATAAATCCCAGCAACTACAACTCCCAAATGACAAAATCATTTTTTTTTTGAGTGAAGGACATACATTGGGTTGTTAGGTGTCTTGTGCCCAAATTTGGTGTCAATTCGTCCAGTGTTAATCCCACAAATGAACATGACGTTTTTATTTATATAGATTATTATTATTTGAAACACAACAAGATGAGTCCACAGCGGACACTCTGCTGGCTGTTGTACTGGATCACACATTGGACCCTTCCCAAGTGTCTAGGACTGTGTGATGTATTGGCGAATGATGCGTGCAGATCCCAGTAAGGTGGCCTTCTGCAGCAGGTAGATGGTCATTTTGTCAGCGCTGATTGTGTTTAAGTGCAGGCCAAGGTCTTTAGGCACTGCACCCAGTGTGCCGATCACCACTGGGACCAACTTTACTGAATTGTGCCATTATTATTATTATTATTATTATTATTATTATTATTATTATTATGTTGTTGTTGTTGTTGTTGTTGTTGTTGTTGTTGTTGTTGTTGTTGTTGTTGTTGTTGTTATATCCCCTTTTGTTGCTTGGCCATCCACTCACCTGCTGGCATACTCTGATTTCGACCGGGACTTGGTGCTAAGGGTCCCGGGGTTGGTTTGCTTCTCGATGAGGTGCTCCATGCGGTCGTGCATCTCCAGGTTCTTTTGAAAAGGCAGAAAGTGAGAAGAGATCAGAGAAGAGGGGGAAATAAGGAAGATTAATCTTTGTATTGTAGAAGGCTTTCATGGCCGGAATCCATGGGTTGTTGTAGGTTTTTCCGGGCTATATGGCCATGTTCTGGAGGCAATTTTTCTCCTGACGTTTCGCCTGCATCTATGGCAAGCATCCTCAGAGGTAATGAGGTCTGTTGGAACTAGGAAAAATGGGTTTATATATCTGTGGAATGACCAGGGTGAGACAAAGGACTTTGCTGGGGCTAGCTGTGAATGTTTCAGCTGATCACCTTGATTTGCATTCAATGGCTTGGAAGCGCCTGGGGGGAATCTTTTGTTGAGAGTGATTTCATGTGCCTGTTTGTTTCCCCTCTGTTGTTTTGCTACCAGTATTAAAAAACTCAAAAATTACAGCAGCAAAACAACAGAGGGGAAACAAACAGGCACATAAAATCACTCTCAACCAAAGATTCCCCCCAGGCACTTCCAAGCCATTGAATGCAAATCAAAGTGATCAGCTGAAACATTCACAGCTAGCCCCAGCAAACAAAAGTCCTTTGTCCCACCCTGGTCATTCCACAGATATATAAACCCATTTTTCCTACTTCCAACAGACCTCACTACCTCTGAGGATGCTTGCCATAGATGCAGGCAAAACGTCAGGAGAAAAATTGCCTCCAGAACATGGCCATATAGCCCGGAAAAACCTACAACAACCCAAAGATTAATCTTTGTTTTCACCAACAACAAAACCACAAAGTGCCACTAGAGGGCAGCAGAGCAAAGGGAATGTCCGATCAATACAGGATGGAGTTGTATATAATATACGCACAGCCTTCCTTTTGAGGCATTGCGATGTCTTACCTCGGCCTCCAAATAAGCCACCCGCTCTTTGAGCTCCTGAATGATCGAGTCTTTGGACTGAATCACCGTCTTGGAGTTCTGAAGCTGCGGAAAAAAGAGCGGAGAGTTCTCAAAGGGAACAGCCAAGTTAAAAGTTACGATGATTCCATCTGAACATGAGGAAGAACTTCCTGACTGTGAGAGCCGTTTAGCAGTGGAACTCTCTGCCCCAGAGTGTGGTGGAGGCTCCTTCTTTGGAGGCTTTTAAACAGAAGCTGGATGGCCATCTGTCAGGGGTGATTTGAATGCAATATTCCTGCTTCTTGGCAGAATGGGGTTGGACTGGATGGCCCAAGAGGTCTCTTCCAACTCTAGGATTCTATGAGTCTATGATTTGTTTACCATATTTACTGTGAGTCTTCCAACTCTAGGATTCTATCATTCCATAGCCCTGTTCCCCCACAAATCTACCAATGTCTATTGAGGTGGAGTGGCCATCTGTTGGGAGGGCTTTGATTGTGCTTTTCCTGCATGGTTGGACTGGATGGCCCTTGGGGTCCCTCCCAACTCTAGGATTCTATCATTCTATAGCCCTATTCCTCCACGAACCTGCTAATTTCTATTGAGGTTGAGTGGCAATCTGTTGGGAGTGTTTTGATTGTGCTTTTCCTACAAGGTAGAAGGGGGTTGGACTGGATGGCCCTTGTGGTGCCTTCCAACTTTAGGATTCTATCATTGTATAGCCCTATTTCTCCACGAACCTGCTAAAGTCTATTGAGGTTGAGTGGCCATCTGTTGGAAGGGCTTTGATGGTGCTCTTCCAGCATGGTTGGACTGGATGGCCCTTGGAGTCCCTTCGAACCCTATAATTCTATCATTCCATAGCCCTATTCTTCCACAAACCTTCTATTGAGGCTGAATGGCCATCTGTTAGGAGGGCTTTGATTGTGCTTTTCCTCCAAGGCAGAAGGGGGTTGGACTGGATGGCCCTTGGGGTCCCTTCCAACCCTAGGATCCTATTATGTTATAGCCCTGTTCCTCCCTGACCTTGCTAGTATGACAAGGCCTCAGTGTTAGTTTGCCTCAGTGTATGAGAAATGTCAGACTGAGAGAGCCCTCAATGTGAGAAGGCTTCAGTGTGAGGTAGGCCTTAGTGTTGCAGTAGACAAGGCCTCAATGTTAGTTTGCCTCAGTGTATGAGAGGTATCAGTCTGACAGAGCAAGTGGGAAAAAGGCTTCAGTGTGAGGTAGGCCTCAGCGTGTCCTCCCCGACCCTGCTAATGCCTAGTGAGGTGGAGTGGCCATCTGTCGGGAGAGTTTTGATTGTCCTTTTCCTGCATGGTTGGACTGGATAGCCCTTGGAGTCCCTTCTAACTCTAGGATTCTATTATTCTATAGCCCTATTTCTCCACAAACCTGCTAAAGTTTATTGAGGTTGAGTGGCCATCTGTTAGGAGGGCTTTGATAGTGCTTTTCCTCCAAGGTAGAAGGGGGTTGGTCTGGATGGCCCTTGGGGTCCCTTCCAACCCTAGGATCCTATTATGTTATAGCCCTGTTCCTTCCTGACCTTGCTAGTATGACAAGGCCTCAGTGGTAGTTTGCCTCAGTGTATGAAAGATGTCAGACAGAGAGAGCCCTCAATGTGAGAAGACCTCAGTGGAAGAAAGGCTTCAGTGTGAGGTAGGCTTCAGTGTGAGGTAGGCCTCAGTGTGTTAGTAGGCCTCAGTATGACAAGGCATCAGTGTTAGTTTGCCTCAGTGTATGAGATATGTCAGTCTGAGAGAGCCCTCATTGTGAGAAGGCCTCTGAGAGACAAGCTTCAGTGTGTTAGTAGGCCTGTATGACAAGGCCTCACTGTTAATTTGCCTCAGTGTATGAGAGATATCTGTCTGAGAGAGCCCTCAATGTGAGAAGGCCTCAGTAGAAGAAAGGCTTCAGTGTGAGATAGGCCTCGGTGTGTTAGTAGGCCTCAGTATGACAAGGCCTCATTTTTAATTTGCCTCAGTGTATGAGAGATGCCAGTCTGAGAGAGCCCTCAATGTGAGAAGGCCTCAGTGGGAGAAAGGCTTCAGTGTGAGGTAGGCCTCAGTATGACAAGTCCTCATTGTTAATTTGCCTCAGTGTATGAGAGATGTCAGTCTGAGAGAGCCCTCAATGTGAGAAGGCCTCAGTGGAAGAAAGGCTTCAGTGTGAGGTAGGCCTCAGTGTTGCAGTAGGCCTCAGTATGACAATTTATTTATTTATTTAGGGTATTTTTACCCCGCCCTTCTCAACCCCTTAGGGGGGACTCAGGATAGCTTCCAGCTGGCACATATTCGATGCCTACAGTTCAACACAGTAAAATACACAACAACAGTAATTATACATAATTAAAACATTAAGTTAATACAATACAATCTAATAGGCCTCAGTGTGTTAGTAGGCCTCAGTATGACATGACCTCACTGTTAATTTGCCTCAGTGTATGAGAGATGTCCATCTGAGAGAGCCCTCAATGTGAGAAGACCTCAGTGGAAGAAAGGCTTCAGTGTGAGGTAGGCCTCAGTGTGTTAGTAGGCCTCAGTGTTAGTTTGCCTCAGTGTATGAGAGTTATCAGTCTGACTGAGCCCTCAGTGGGAGAAAGGTTTCAGTGTGAGGTAGGCCTCAGTGTGTCCTCCCTGACCCGGCTAATGTCTATTGAGGTTGAGTGACCATCTGTCGGGAGGGTCCCTTCCAACTCTAGGATTCTATTACAAAAAAGAAGGCCCAACCTGTTCGATCATCTGCCGGACTTTGCGCTGCTGGCTCTTGAGCATGTCATCCAGGTGGTGGATCTTCTCCCGCAAAGTGGCCACTTCCTTCTCCAGTTTGGCCGACCTGGAAGAACGAAGGGACCGTGATTTATAGAAGATGTATAGTTCACCTCCAATCTAAGAGCTGCACTCTGAACTCCGCCAACGATGGAATTGGACCAAACTGGGCACACAGAACCCGCAGGATGAACAAAAAATATTGGAGGATTTTGGAGGGATTTCGAGGAGTTGTAGTTCACCTACATCCAGAGTGAACTATAAATCTAACCAATGATGGATCTGGACCAAACTTGGCATGCACACCCGATATGCCCAAATTGGAATACTGGTGGGTTTTGAGGGGAATTGGCCTGGACGTTTTGGAGTTGTAGGTACTGGGATTTATAGTTCACCTGCAATCAATGGGCACCCTGATCTCCACCAAGGATGGAATTGGACCAAACTTGGCACACAGAGCCCCCATGACCTACAAAAAATACTAGAGATCTCTGAGGAAAATTCACCTTGATTTGAGGGAGTTGTGGGTACTGGGATTTATAGTTCACCTGCAATCAAGAAGCACCCTGAACTCCACCAAGGATAGAATTGAACCAAACTGGGCACACAGACCCACCATGACATGCAAAAAATACTAGAGGTCTCTGAGGAAAATTCACCTTGATTTCGGGGAGTTATGGGTACTGGGATTTATAGTTCACCTGCAATCAATGAGCACTCTGAACTCCACCAAGGATGGATTTGGACCAAACTTGGCACACAGAGCCCCCATGACGAGCAAAAAATACTAGAGGTCTCTAATGAAAATCCACCTTGATTTGGGGGAGTTGTGGGTACTGGTATTTATAGTTCACCTGCAATCAAGGGGCACTCTGAACTCCACCAAAGAGGGAATTGGACCAAACTTGGCACACAGAGCCCCCATGACCTGCAAAAAATACTAGAGGTCTTTGAGGGAAATTCAACTAGATTTGGGGGAGTTGTAGTTCACCGACATGCAGATAGAACTGTGAAGCCAAAACACCGATAGATGGATCTGGACCAAACTTGGCACACAGACCTGATATGCCGAAATTTGATTACTGGAGGGGTTTTGGGGGAACTGACCTTCCTTTCTGGGAGTTGTAGTTCACCTAAATACTGATGGACCTGGGCAAACTTTGCGTACACACCCGATATGCCAAAATTTGATTATTGGATGTGTTTGGGGGTAACCGATCTTCATTTTTGGGAGTTATAGTTCACCTAAACACTGAGGGACCTGGGCAAACTTTGCGTACATACCTGATATGCCAAAATTTGATTATTGGGGGGGTTTGGGAGTTGTAGTTCACTCATAAGTAGAGAGAACTGTGGCTTCCATCAAAGATGGACCTGGACCAAACTGGGCACACAGAACCCACATACCTAACTCAACCTACTGGAGGAGTTTGAAAGGACTGACTCACCATAGTGGGAGTTGTAGTTCACCTACATCCAGAGAGCACTGTGAACCCAAACACCAATGGATGGATCTGGACCAAACTTGGCCCACAGACCTGATATGCTGAAATTTGATTACTGGAGGCGTTTGGGGGAAACTGACCCTCCTTTCTGGGAGTTGTAGTTCACCCACAACCAGAGAGAATGGTGACCTTCACCAATGATGAACCTGGACTAAACTTGGCACACAGAACCCACATGCCTAACTCAACCTAGTGGAGGGTTTTGAAGTGACTGAGTCACCACAGTGGGAGTTGTAGTTCACCTACATCCGGATAGCACTGTGAACCCAAACACCGATGGATGGATCTGGACCAAACTTGGCACATAGACCTGATATGTTGAAATTTGATTACCGGAGGAGTTGGGGTGGGGGCAACCACTGACTTTCCTTTCTGGGAGTTGTAGTTCACCCTACAGCCAGAGAGCACACTGAACCCCACCCATGATGCATCTAGAGCAAACTTGCCCAAGTTAACAAACTTTAAGCACTGATGGAGATTCAGGGGACCAACCAGGCATGATGGGAGTTGTAGTTCACCCGCAACTTTATGCATTGTTTACAATTAACCTGGGCAAGCAGTATAAGGAAGTATTTAGAAGTGGGAACGCGGGGCCTTAACGGGGGCCGTCCCTACCAAATCAGGTGAGGACGCCAAGTGAAACCCGTCCTCTGCACACAATTTGACTGTTGCAAACCACGAACCGCACCCCAAAATTGCACCCCTCATTTTGGCCGGCCCCCCTTCCCTCCTTCCTCACCTTTCCTGTTCCGCCAGCCTGTCTCCCTCGAGGCTCCGCAGCCGCTCCAGCTCCGACTCGCCGTCTTGCATCTTCTGCAGCAGGACCTGGTGCTCCTGCAAGCGAGTTGGGACACATGAAGCTCCTCGCCGAAAGAAGCAGAACACCCAGGGCGGGCCCCGCAAGAGAGAGGCGCACCTCAGGACTCGGTCCGGGGAACAGGGAGAAGGAGCAGGATCTTTCTGGTCTGTTCCCCCACAAAAGGAGGGCTTCTCGACTGCCCTGAAAACCTATTGTTCACCAGAGGTTCCCTAAGCAATGATTATTGTTTGATTACACCACATCGGTATAGCAACAGAAAGGCCTCAGAGTGTTAGTAGGCCTCAGTATGACAAGGCCTCAGTGTTAGTTTGCCTCAGTGTATGAGAAATGTCAGTCTGAGAAAGCCCTCAGTGGGAGAAAGGCCTCAGTGTATGAAAGATGTCAGTCTGAGAGAGCCCTTAGTGGGAGAAAGGCCTCAATGGAAGAAAGGCTTCAGTGTGAGATAGGCCTCAGTGTGTTAGTAGTCCTCAGTGTATGAGAGACGTCCGTCTGAGAGAGCCCTCAGTGGAAGAAAGGCTTCAGTGTGAGGTAGGCTTCTGTATGACAAGGCCTCAGTGTTAGTTTGTCTCAATGTATGAGAGATGGCAGTCTGAGAGAGCCCTCAATGTGAGAAGGCCTCCATGGAAGAAAGGCTTCTGTGTGAAGTAGGCCTCAGTGTGTTAGTAGGCCTCAAGTGTATGAAAGATGTCAGTCTGAGGGAGCCCTCAATGTGAGAAGGCCTCAGTGGGAGAAAGGCTTCAGTGTGAGGTAGGCCTCAATGTGTTAGTAGTCCTCAGTGTATGAGAAATATCAGTCTGAGAGACCCCTTAATGTCAGAAGGCCTCAATGGAAGAAAGGCTTCAGTGTGAGGTAGGCCTCAGTGTGTTAGTAGTCTTCAGTATGACAAGGCCTCACTGATAATTTGCCTCAGTGTATGAGAGATGTCAGTCTGAGAGAACCCTGAATGTGAGAAGGCCTCAGTGGGAGAAAGACTTCAGTGTGAGGTAGGCCTCAGTATGACAAGGCCTCAATGTTAGTTTGCCTCAGTGTATCTGAGATGTCAGTCTGAGAGAGCCCTCAATGTGAGAAGACCTCAGTGGAAGAAAGCCTTCAGTGTGAGCTAGGCCTGAGTGTATGAGAGATGTCAGTCTGAGAGAGCCCTAAATGTGAGAAGGCCTCAGTGGGAGAAAGTATTCAGTGTGAGATAGGCCTCAATGTGTTAGTAGGCCTCAGTATGACAAGGCCTCAGTATTACTTTGCCTTAGTGTATCAGAGGTGTCAGTCTGAGAGGTGTGGGCAAAACATCAGGAGAGAATGCTTTTGAAACATAGCAACCTTTTGGTCAGCAAGTTCTGCAGCTCAGCAGTTTAACCCACTGTGCCACGTGGAAATGGAAGGAGGCAGGTTAACAGCAGCCGAGTCCTCTCCATCAAGAAGATAAACAAGGTTAGACCATCGAGAGTGAAGCGACCCTTACCTTCTCCATCCCCGTGAGAAGCCTCTGCAGTTCGTCCAGCTTCACGTCTTTGCCTTCCAGCGCCATTTCCGCCTTCCGGAGAGCCGAGCCAGACTGCTCCGCTTCCCTGCGGTAATGGGAGATGGACGTCTGGAAAACCAGAAGGAAAACCATATTGGTTTGCTGAGGACTTAGGTATTATTATTATGTCACTGTAGTTCTCTGTCGCCAGTCCCTTCATCCCTCTCCTTTCTGGCATGTTTGGGGAAGGGGGTCTGACCTCGTAGGCCGCCCGGTCCGACTGGTGCCGCTTCTCGGCCTCCTGCAGCTTCGAGAAGAGCCTCCGTGTGGTCTCGCGCATGATGGAGATGTCCTCGCTGGGATACGCGGGGTCGTCCTGCCGGCAGACGGTAGGCTGGATCAAATGGGATGTAAGGAAAACACACCTGAGCACAGGTATTGCGTGAGACAGGGAATGGCAATGGCCTCCCTGCTCACTCTCTGACCCCAAAGCATCATCTTGGCAAAATTTGCTCAGAAGGTCCACCCTGTGCAACCCAGTTCTGCCAGCCAGAATAAGACCATTCAATCCCTCCCAACAGATGGCCATCCAGCCTCTGAATCATAGAATTCTGGAGTTGAAAGAGACAATCAAAGCCCTCCCAATAGATGGTCATTCAGTCTCTGCTTAACAACAACAACAACAACAACAGAGTCCTAGAGTTGGAAGAGACCTCAAGGGCCATCCAGTCCCCTTCTTCCATTCAGGAAGACACCATCAAAGCCCTCCCAACAGATGGTCATCCAGCCTCTGAATCATAGAATGCTGGAGTTGAAAGAGACAATAAAAGCCCTCCCAATAGATGGTCATTCAGTCTCGGCTTAACAACAACAACAACAACAACAACAACAGAGTCCTAGAGTTGGAAGAGATCTCAAGGGCCATCCAGTTCAACTGCCTTCTTCCATTCAGGAAGACACCATCAAAGCCCTCCCGACAGATGGCCATTCAGTCTCTGCTTAACAACAACAACAACAGAGTCCTAGAGTTGGAAGAGACCCCAAGAGCCATCCAGTCCAACCCACTTCTTCCAAGCAGGAAGACACAATCAAAGCCCTCCCGACAGATGGCCATTTGGGAAGACACTGTCAAAGCCTTCCCAATAGATGGCCAGTCAGTCTCTACTTAACAATAACAACAACAGAGCTCTAGAGTTGGGAGAGACCCCAAGGGCCATCAAGTCCAACCCCCTTCTTCCAAGCAGGAAGACCATCAAAGCCCTCCCGACAGATGGCCATCTAGTCTCTGAATCATAGAATCCTAGAGCTGGAAGAGGCCACAAGGGCCATCCAGTTCAACGCAATTCTGCCAGCCAGAAAGACACCATGAAATCCCTCCCAACAGATGACCATTCAGCCTCTGAATTATAGAATGCTGGAGTTGAAAGAGACCCCAAGGACCATGCAGTCCAACCCCCTTCTTCTATGCCCTCCCAAAAGATGGCCATCCAGTCTCAGTTCAACAACAACAACAACAGCAACAACAGAGTCCTAGTTGGGAGAGACCCACCAAGGGCCATCCAGTCCAATCCCCCAAAGCCCTCCCAAAAGATGGCCATCCAGTTTCAGCTTAACAACAACAACAAGAGAGTCCTAGAGTTGGGAGAGACTGGAGGCCATCCAGTCCAACCCCCTTTCTACCATAAAGGAAGACACCATCAAAGCCCTTCCGGTAGATGGCCATCCAGCTTCTGCTTAACAACAACAACAACAACAGAGTCCTAGAGTTCGGAGAAACCCCAAGGGCCATCCACTCCAACCCCCTTCTTCCATGCAGGAAGACACCATCAAAGCCCTCCCAACAGATGGCCATTCAGTCTGTTTAACAACAACAACAACAACAACAATAAGAGTCCTACAGTTGGGAGAGACCCCAAGGGCCATCCACTCCAACCCCCTTCTACTATAAAGGAATAAACCCATCAAAGCCCTCCCAACAGATGGCCATCCAGCCTCTGAATCATCAAATCCTAGAGCTGGAAGAGGCCCCAAGGGCCATCTAGACCAACCCAATTCTGCCAGGCAGGAAAAGCACAATCAAAGCACCCCCAACAAATGGCCATCCAGGCGCTGCTTAAAAGCCTCCAAAGAAGGAGTTTCAACCGCTCTGCATTGATGGCGTGATATGTTCCTTAACGTACTGAGGAAATGGATGGCCCCAAAGTCACGCACCCTTCTCGGACCCCCTTCCGAGGCGCACTAACACTTTGTACGCACCTGGCTGGCAGAGAGGCTGCGATGCGAGGCGTTTCGGTGAAGGCGGACCCCATTCGGTTTCTCTGGCTGTGGCTGCAAAAGGAAGGGAAAACAAGAGGGTGACATCCAGCATTTCTCAACCTGGGGGTCGGGACCCCTGTGAGGGTTGCAAGGAGGTGTCAGAGGGGTCGCCAAAGACCATCAGAAAACAGTCTTTTTCTGTTGGTCCTGGGGGTTCTGTGTGGGAAGTTTGGCCCAATTCTATCGTGGGTGGAGTTCAGAATGCTCTTTGATTGTAGGCGAACTATAAATCCCAGTAACTACATCTCCCAAATGTCAAAGTCTATTTTCCCCAAACTCCAGTGCTTACATTTGGGCATACTGACTATTCATGCCAAGTTTGGTCCAAATCCATCATTGTTTCTGAGTCCGCAGTGCTCTCTGGATGTAGGTGAACTACAGATCCCAAACTCAAGGTCAATGCCCATGAAATCCTTCCAGTATTTTCTGTTGCTCATGGGAGTTTTGCGTACCAGGTTTGGTTCAATTCTATCGTTGGTGGAGTTCAGAATGCTCTTTGATTGTAGGTGAACTATAAATCCCAGCAAATATAACTCCCAAATGTCAAGACCTATCTTCCCGAAACTCCACCAGTGTCCACATTTGGGCATATTGGTTTTGTGTACCAGGTTTGGTTCAATTCTATCGTTGGTGGAGTTCGAAATGCTCTTTGATTGCAGGTGAACTATAAATCCCAGGAACCATAACTCCCAAATGTCAAGACCTATCTTCCCCAAAATCCACCAGTGTCCACATTTGGACATATTGAGTCCAGATCCCTCATAGTTTGCGTCCACAGTGCTCCCTGGATGTAGGTGAACTACAACTCCCAAATGCAAGGTCAATGCCCATCAAACCCTTCCAGATACCAAAAGAGCCACCAACTCCTCCAAAGCAAGCGAGTTCGTATTAAGAGAGAGTACGAAGCTAGGAAAGACAAATATGTGGCAGGGAGAGCCTAATAAAATACTCATCGGGGATTGGCATGGGGCAGGCGTTGAGTCACCCAAGCTCCCGGAGAGGAAGCCTGGTGCCAGGGAGGCGAAGGCCGCTCCTTGCCAAGTTCCTTGCCCACTTGGAACACCATCTCTGGAGCCAAGGCTGGCATTTTGCAACTCGCCCAAATGTTCCCAGGCTGCCGAGTTACCCAACATCGACAGCGCCAAGAAGACATTGTAAAACTAAACCCCAGTTAATACTAAGCTTGGCTCTTGGTTTAATTCCAGGATATCCTTGGAGAGGCCAGTAATACAATTATTATTATTATTATTATTATTATTATTATTTTGCAATTCATTTTTATTAGCGAATGACATAGACATAACATAGGCATAGACAAATATTGACATTGATATAAGAAATATATGTCCATATATATATATATATATATATATATATATATATATACGCACACACATATATATACGTGCACACATATGTACATACATGCATATTCATACATAAACACATAAACTATTATTATTATGTACGTACATGCATATACACACACACATAATAATAGTTTATGTGTGTATATGCATGTACGTACATAATAATAGTTTATGTGTGTGAATATACATGTATGTACATAATAATAGCTTATGTGTTTATTATTATTATTATGTACATACATGCATACACACACACATAATAATAATAGTTTGTGTTTATGTGTGTGTATATGCATGTATGAACATAATAATAATTGTTTATGTGATTATTATTATTATGTACATACATGCATATACATACACACATAAACATTATTATTTGAAACAGAACAAGATGAGTCCACAGCAGACAAGATTTATCTGCTATTATTATTATTATTATTATTATTATTATTATTATTATTATTATTTACATACATGCATGTACACACACACATAATAATAATAATAGTTATTATTATTATTATGGCAAGTGGGGGTTTATATATTATTATTATTGTGTTTATGCATATACATACATAAACACATACACTATTATTATGTACATACATGCATATACACACATAATAATAATAGTTTATGTGTGCGTATATGCATGTATGTAAATAATAATAGCTTATGTGTTTATTATTATTATTATGTACATACATGCATATACACAGACATAATAATAATAGTTTGTGTTTATGTGTGTTTATGCATGTATGAACATAATTGTTTATGTGATTATTATTATTATTATGTACATACATGCATTTACATACACACATAAACATTATTATTATTATTTGAAACAGAACAAGATGTGTCCACAGCAGACAAGATTAATCTGTTGTTATTATTATTATTATTATTATTATTATTGGATTGCTGTGAATTTTCTGGGCTGTCTGGCCATGTTCCAGAAGCATTCTCTCCTGATGTTTCCTCCACATCTATGGCAGGCATCCTCAGAGGTTGTGAAGTCTGCTGGAAACTAGGCAAGTGGGGGTTTATATATATATACATGCACACACACACACATACACACACACAAGCTGTCCCCCTGCCACACGTTGCTGTGGCCCAGTCTGTGTATATGTTTTGTGTGTGTGTATATATTTGTGTATATGTGTGTTTGCGTATATATGTGGTTTTGTGACTGTGGTGCTCATCTCCATTTCTAAGCCAAAGAGCTGGCGTTGTCCATAGACACCTCCAAGGCCATGTGGCCTGCATGAAGCACCGTTACATTACCTATTGATCTACTCACATTTGCAAGTTTTCGAACTGCTACGTTGGTGGAAGCTGGGGCTAACAGCAGGAGCTCACCCCTGCTCCCCGAGTTCGAACCCACCATGACCTTGATCAGCAAGTTCAGCAGCTTGGCGGTTTAACCCGCTGCGCCACACACCAGATAATACGGAATGATTTTGCAGCCAAAGGATAGAAAGGGAAGGCAAGGGATGCGTACCTCTTGGGGGAGGCTGCTGTCGCTCTTCAACCGGTGGAGGAGGCCCTTGTCGTGCTTGGCCTTGTCCTCGGCCCGGGCTTTGAGGTACACCTGAGTCAGAGGCAAAACCACAACGTCAAGGGAGAGGTCGCCAGAGGATCCCAACGAGACGGGACAGGCCCCGGGCGCCAAAAAAGGGATGGCGGCCCAGAAAGAGCAACGTGCGTGTGAACAGTCAGGTTCCCATAACCCAAACGAAAAGGTCTTAGACCACCTTGAGTCACAGAATCCTAGCGTTGGAAGAGAACCCAAAGGGCCATCTAGTCCAACCCGTTCTGTCAGGCAGGAAGACACAATTCAATCCCTCCCGACAGATAGAGGCTCTGATTGTGTCTTCCTGCCTAGCAAACTGGATGGGCCCTGGGGGATCTCCTTCCAACTCCATAGCCCTATTTTTCCACAAACTTGTGAATGTCTATAAGTCTGGATGGCCCTCGGTCAGGAGGGCTTTGATTGTGTCTTCCTGCTTAGCAAACTGGATGAGCCCGGGGGGGAATCTCCTTCCAACTCCTTGATTCCATAGCCCTATTTTTCCATGAATTTACTAATGTCTATGACTCTGGATGGCCATCTGTCAGGAGGGCTTTGATTGTGTCTTCCTGCTTAGCAAACTGGATGAGCCCTCTGGGGGGGGGGGGTTCCTTCCAACTTTAGAAGTCCTTGATTCCATATTTTCCCACAAACTTGCTAATGTCTATAAGTCTGGATGGCCATCTGTCAGGAGGGCTTTGCTTGTGCTTTTCTTTCCTGGCCGGGGGGGGGGGGGGGGGTGGAGGATTCCAGTTCTCGGATTCCCACTCACCTTGATGATCTCTTCGTCCCCGTTGCTGGACTTGATGCATTCGGAGGCCAGCGTGCGGCTGCTCGTGGGCCGGTTGGCCACCATGGCGAAAGCGCGTCCTACGGGCTACAAAGAGAGGAGACCCACCCAAGTCACAACAGAGGACGGTTGGAGGCCATCAAGATCATCATCTTCATCCCCCCTCTTCACTCCATTCCTCCATTCTCCGCCCAAAAAAAAGGTCTAAAGTGTGTCCAGATACCACTTGGGACAGTCCTGTGGACTCTCCGCGTGGACGTTGAAGTATTCCAGTGCCACCAGGAAGTCTCCAAGCCAAGCCAGAGACCAGCTCAGCAAGGAAGGAAGGGAGGAAGGGACTGAGGGAGGGAAAGAAGAGAGGGAGGAAGGAGGAAGGGAGGGAGAAAAGAAGGAAGGAGGGAAGCAAAGAAGAAAGGAGGAAGGGATAGGACTGAGGGAGTGGGAGAGAGAGAGAAAAAGAGAGAGAAGGGGGGGAAGGAAAGAGGGAAGGAAGGAAGGAGAAAGGGAGGAGGGAGAGGGAGAGAAGGAGGGAGGAAAGAAGGAGGAAGGAAGGGAGGGAGGGAGGAGGGAGGGAGGGAGGGAGGGAGGGAGGGAGGGAGGGAAGGAAATGAATGAGGAAGGAAAGAAGGGAGGGAGGGAGAAAAGAAGAAAGGAGGGAAGCAAGGAGGGAGAGGGAGAAAAAGGAAGGGATGGAACTAGGGGGAGAGAGGAGGAAGGGAAGGAAAGAAGGAAGAAGGAAGGAGAAGGAAGGAAGGAAGGAAGGAAGGAAGGAGGGAAGCAAGGAGGGAGGCAAAGGAAGAAAGGGGAAGCGATGGGACTGGGTGAAGGAGGGAGGAAAGGAAAGGAAGAGGAAGGAAAGAGGGAGGAGGGAGGAAGAAAAGAAGGAAGGAGGGAAGCAAGGAGGGATATAAGGAAAAAAGAAAGGGATGAAACTAGGGAAGGAAGGAAGGAAGGGAAGGAAACGAGGAAGGAAAGAAGGAAGGGAGCAAGGAAGGAGGGAAGCAAGGAGGGAGGCAAAGAAGAAAGGAAGGAAGTGATGGGACTGGGCGAGGGAGGAAGGGAGAGAGAAAGGGAAGGAAGGAAAGAGGGAAGGGAGCAAGGAAGGAATGAGGGAGAGGCAGAAGAAAAAAAGGAAGGAGGCAAGACAGAAAGAGAGGAAGAGATGGGACCGAGGGAGGGAGGGAGGGAGGGAGGAAAGGAAATGAATGAGGAAGGAAAGAAAGAAGGGATGGAGGAAGAAAAGAAGAAAGGAGGGAAGCAGGGAGGGAGGCAAGGAAAAAGGAAGGGATGGAACTAGGGGAGAGAGGAAGGAAGGGAAGGAAATGAGGAAGGAAAGAAGGAAGGGAGCAAGGAAGGAGGCAAAGAAGAAAGGAAGGAAGTGATGGGATGGTGAGGGAGGAATGAAAGGGAAGGAAGGAAAGAGGGAAGGGAGCAAGGAAGGAGGGAGAGGAGGAAGAAAAGAAGGAAGGAGGCAAGGCAGAAAGGGAGGAAGGGATGGGACTGGGGGAGGGAGGGAAGAAGAGAGAGAGAGGAGGAGGAAAGGAAGGAAACGAGTAACGAGAAGGAAGAAAGGAGGGAGAGGAGAAAAGAAAGGAAGGAGAGAAGCAAGGAAGAAAGGAAGGGATGGGACTGAGGGAGGAAGAAAGGGAGAGAGTGAGAAAGGAAAGAAGGAAGGAGGGAAGGAAGGAGAGAAGAAAAGAAGGATTGAGGGAAGCAAGGAGGGAGGCAAGGAAGAAAGGAAGGGATGGGACTGAGAGGGAGGAAGAAAGGGAGAGGGAGAGGAAGGAAGGAAGGAAGGAAGAAAGGAAGGAAGAAAGGAAGGAGAGAAGAAAAGAAGGATCGAGGGAAGCAAGGAGGGAGGCAAGGAAGAAAGGAAGGGATGGGACTGAGAGGGAGGAAGAAAGGGAGAGGGAGAGGAAGAAGGAAGGAAGGAAGAAGGCAAGGAACGGGCGGCAGTTTTTTTTTTTTCTTTGGGCATACGGGGAGTGGCAATTTAATGAGGCAGAGGCATGGTCTGCGGCCCCTGATCTTCGGCCAATTCCTCTGGTCACACCCTACAAAGCGGCAAGAAAGGCAGGGCGGCAAGGATGGCAGGGTAAGGGCGGGCAAGGAAGATAGGCTGGCCCAGAGGCAAGGACACGGCACCCGGCAAAGTCGAGGGCAAGAGGAGGCCAAGAAAGGGAGAGGGAGAGGAAGGAAAGGGGAAGGAAGGAAGAAAGGAAGGAAGAAAGGAAGGAGAAAAGAAGGATGAGGGAAGCAAGGAGGGAGGCAAGGAAGAAAGGAAGGGATGGGACTGAGAGAGGGAGAGGAAGGGAAGGAAGCAAATGAGGAAAGCAAAGAAGGAAGGAGGGAGAGGAGGAAGAGATGGGACTGAGGGAGGGAGGAAGAGAGAGAGAGGAAGGGAAGGAAGCAAATGAGGAAAGAAAGAAGGAAGGGAGCAAGGAAGGAAAGTGGGAGAGGAGGAAGAAGAGAGGAAAGGAGGGAAGGGAGGAAGAGATGGGACTGAGGGAGGGAGGGAGAGAGAGAGAGGAAGGGAAGGAAGCAAATGAGGAAAGAAAGAAGGAAGGGAGCAAGGAGGGAAGGAGGGAGAGGAGGAAGGAAAGAAGGAAGGAGGGAAAGAGGGATGCACCCAGATCAGAAACCTACCTTTGGCTTTGCTTGCTCCCGCCTCTCCCCAGGAAGGTCATTCTGGAGGGTCAAGCGTAGTATTTTCACACTGTCCTAAGAAAAAGGAAGAAAGAGGTTGTGAATTGCGTGGTTTTGCACCGCATTTATTTCCATTACCTTGAAGTGTGCAGCCTGTGAACCATCGCAATGGGTTTCAAAACACAAGTAGTACACAAGTAAGGCAGATTCCACATTCGTTCTGCCTCTGGTCCCAAATTAAGGCTCAGGAACACGCCTATGTTGTTGACAGGCACAATGGGACCAATTTAGATTGCGAACGTGCCCCGCCACCAGCGTACTTCCGAGCGGCCCCACTTCCATGCCTTTGGGGCCACAATTAGGACAGGTTTGGCTCACAGGCTTAATAGACGGTAATTTGCCGGAGTCCAAGAAGAAACAACGCCAGGCCCAGACCGGAAAATTGCAAAACACGCGGCATTCATTGCTCAACAGGCAACACATACATGAGAGAATCTACTTGCCGTTGGGACTGCTGCATATCTACTTTCTCCCTTCTTCAGCTCTGAAAAGCCCTACCTCATGATGACTCCTTGGATCATGGAAGGATCTGTGTGCTCAGGTTGGTCCAGATCCATCAAGCCACGCAGGAGCCTTTGCGGTACAAACAGACAAACCAACATACAGACATATCATAAAAGTGAATGTTTACATGTGCGTATGTGGCAGCTTTCTGATTGGCTCCCACTTCCACTGGCCACTGTGACCTCCATGAATGATGGACCTGGACCCCCAACTTGGCACACAGAGCCCCCATGACCCACTCTACATCCTGGTCCGGTTAGGAGGGGGATGGACCACGGATGATGGGACTTGCAGTACCTTCATTCACTTCCTGAGACCACTGCAACCCACACTAATGACAGATAACAACCAAACTTGGCACACAGAGCACCCAAGACCCACTCTACATCCTGGTCCAGTTAGGAGGAGACTGGGCCACGGATGATGGGACTTGCAGTACTTTCACTCACTTCCTGAGACTCACTTCCATACTAATGACGGATAACGACCAAATTTGGCACACAGAGCCCCCAAGACCAAGTTCACATCTTGGTGCACTTAGGAAGAGAATGGACCACGGATGATGGAACTTGCAGTACCTTCACTCACTTCCTGAGACCACTGCAACCCACACTAATGACTGATAATGACCAAACTTGGCGCACAGTGCCCCCATGACCCACTCTACATCCTGGTGCGGTTAGGAGAGGATGGACCACAGATGATGGGATTTGCAGTACCTTCACTCACTTCCTGAGACCACTGCGACCCACACTAATGGCGGATAACGACCAAATTTGGCACACAGAGCCCCCAAGACCAACTTCACATCCTGGTGCACTTAGGAAGAGAATGAACCATGGACGATGGAACTTGCAGTACCTTCACTCACTTCCTGAGACCCCTGCGACCCACACTGATGACGGATAATGACCAAACTTGGCGCACAGTGCCCCCATGACTCCCTCTACGTCCTGGTGCAGTTTGTGGGCCGACAGACCATGGGCGATGGGAGTTGCAGTACCTTCACTCACTTCCTGAGACCACAATGACCTCTACAAATGAAGACCTGGACCAAACAATGACTGATCAAGAGCAAACTTGGCACACAGTGCCCCCATGACTCCCTCTACGTCCTGGTGAAGTTTGTGGGCCAATAGACAATGGGTGATGGGACTTGCAGTACTTTCACTCACTTCCTGAGACCACTGCGACCCACACCAATGGCTGACAATGACCAAACTTGGTACACAGAGCCCCCATGACCCACTTCACATCCTAGTGCACTTAGGAAGTGAATGGACCATGGATGATGGGGTTTGCAATACCTTCACTCAGTTCCCGAGCCCACAATGACCTCTACAAATGAAGACCTGGACCAAACAATGACTGATCAAGAGCAAACTTGGCACACAGTGCCCCCATGACTCTCTCTATGTCCTGGTGCAGTCTGTGGGACGACAGACCTTGGGTGATGGGACTTACAGTACTTCACTGACTTCCTGAGACCACTGCGACCCACACTAATGATGGATAACAACCAAATCTGGCACACTGAGCCCCCATGAATCACTTCACATCCTAGTGCACTTAGGAAGAGAATGGACCATGGATGATGGGATTCGCAATACTTTCACTCAATTCCCGAACCCACAATGACCTCCACGAATGAAGACCTGGACCAAACGATGACTGATCAAGAGCAAACTTGGCACACAGTGCCCGCCATGACTCCCTCTATGTCCTGGTGCAGTTTGTGGGATGACAGACCTCGGGCGATGAGACTTGCAGTACCTTCACTCATGTCTTGAGACCACTGCGACCCACACCAATGACTGATAAAAGACCAAACTTGCCACTCATGACCCATTCTACATCCTTGTGCGGTTAGGAGGAGGATGGACCATAGACGATGGGACTTGCATATGGGAGTTGTAGTTCACCCGCACCCATTGAATCCAGCTGACATTGCATCTAGATTAAACTTGAAGCACAGATAAACAATGCCTTTGTCAAATAACTGAGACATTGACGGGTCCCCAAGCTAGTGTGTGTGTGTATGTGTGTGTGTATAAAGAGAATGCTACAGTCAACAATTAGGACTTTAGGATCTACGCAGCCGCAATACAGCCATGTAATCTATCCAGAAAAATCCAGAGTTTGCCCTCTAAGCTTGCTATGTTGCAAACTGTGCAATTTGGTCGCTCGTCATCTGGGAATGCAATGCTTTGGGAGCGAGTTTTGCAAAATATTTGCATTTCAGGAAGATGCAAAACAGACCCACAGAGGAAAAGAGAGTGTCTGTAAGGAATAAGCAGGGGCTTTTTTGGCCAGGAAGAGAGAACATCTATTTATTATTAACATCCCAGGTCAGTCATAAAACTGACAAAAGCAAAAGATAAAAAACCCCCTCAAGATTAAGCAAAAACACCCCCGAAATCTCAGGTACAGCAATTCCCATACACATAGTGTGCACCGTAAACATGTCCAAGAGCCTGCCAATGTCCTCCAACACCACCACACTGCCCACCACCCAAGGGATGGCTTTCATTCAGGGACAATTCCATCCTAGATTTTACAGGCTTCCTCCACCACAGATATCCCAGTATTCCTTTCTCTCTCCACTGGTGTGGAATTTGGATGACCCCCCACCCACTGCCCACCACCCAAGAGAAGGCTTTCAGATGAGGACAATGACATCCTAGATGTTCTGTTTTTCCTCCACATCCCAGGGTTCCTTTCTCTCTCCATTGGGGTGGAATTTGCCATGAACATGCCCAAGAGCCCTGCCAATGTCCTCCACCAATACCACACTGCCCACCACCCAAGTGAAGGCTTTCAGACGAGGACAATGACATCCTAGATGTTCTGTTTTTTATCCACATCCCAGGGTTCCTTTCTCTCTACATTGGTGTGGAATTTGCCATGAACATGCCCAAGCGCCCTGCCAATGTCCTCCACCAACACCACACTGCCCACAACCCAAGGGAAGGCTTTCATACGGGGAAAATTCCATCCTAGACTTTCTGCGTTTCCTCCCCCACAGACATCCCAGTATTCCTTTCTCTCTCCACTGGTGTGGAATTTGCATTACCACGCCCACTGCCTCTCCCTTCATCCTTTCCTACTCTTCTCTATGGCACACAGCAACTGAACATACTAGAGAAGTTTAGGAGGAATTCACCATGGAGTTGTATAGGGATGTATAGTTCACCTGCAATCAATGAGCACTCTGAACTCCACCAACGATGGACCTGGAACTCACTTGGCACACAGAACTCCCATGACCAACAACATATTGGAGGTCGTTGGATGGATTTAGAGGAGTTGTAGTTCACCTATATCCGGAGCACAATCTGAACCCAAAGAACGATGGATCTGGACCAAACTTGTCATGCACACCAGATATGCATACTGTCATAGTCACAGTTATTATTATTACATAATGCTGTATATCTCTTAAAAAGAGTCCTTCAGCACAATTGTGGGGTGTGTCTTTGCACACCTGTTGCTCCTTGCTATACTCCGCGCACCTTTGCACCGGCTGACATTGACAATCAGGCGTGACTCATCAACAGAAACTTCCCCGACATTGGAAACCGTCCCTTGCCTTCTTCCATATATAGGGTGATTATGGAATCACACGTGTTTGCTCTGTGTGTGTGTCTGTGTGTGTGTGGTATTTGCTGCTATAGATACTGGAGTAATAAAAAAAAAGCATTGACACGACATGGCTGCAGAATGTGGACTGGGCTGAGTTAATCTTTGGCGTAATCCTTGCGGGAATTTCTGAAGTGGGCGCTAAACAAACACCAGTTGCACAAAAATCGGTACAAATATGCGTCTTCCATGGAAGTGATTTGCATGGCTTTAGCTATTTACTTTTAAACAGAGGCTAGATTGCCATCTGTCAGGGGTGCTTTGATTGTACTTTTCCTGCAAGGACTAGATTTGGTCTCTTTTAACTCTATTATTTTCTATAGAGTAGGGCCGGGCTGTAGCACAGCAGGTTAGCCACCAGTTGCAGTAAATCTTGCCAATCAAAAGGTTAACAATTCGAAGCCTGGGTCAGGGTGAGCTCCTGGCCTTTAGCCCAGCTTCTGGCTACCTAGCAGTTCGAAAATAAATGTGAGTAGATAAATAGGTACTGCTTTAAAGCAGGGAAGTATTTGGTCTCCTTGAACTTGATTATTCTATATAGAGTAGGACCAGGCTATAGCACAGCAGGTTAGCCACCAGTTGCAGTAAATCTTGCCAATCAAAAGGTTGACGACTCAAAGCCCGGGTCAGGGTGAGCTCCTGGTCTTTAGCCCAGCTTCTGCCTACCTAGCAGTTTGAAAACAAATGTGAGTAGATAGGTAGTACTTTAAAGCAGGGAAGTATTTGGTTTCCTTAAGCTCCTTAAGCTGTGAGGGCGACCACATCGGCTCTGGACCCTTGCCCTTCTTGGCTAATTAAATCGGCCAGAGGTGGATTGATTTGTTTGTGTTGATCATAAATGCATCGTTGGAGCAAGGAAAGTTTCCTTCTGG